AGCGTTTAATGTGTAAGAGGTTTGATTTTTGGGAGATGGAAATGTTTTGGAACTAGATAGAAGTGGTGTTTGCACAACATCAGGAAGGTACTGAATGCCAATGAATTTGTCATTTTAAAATGGTTAATTTCTAGATTGTGAATTTCACCTCAGTAAGTTATTTAAAGAAAGAATGAAATGCCAAAAAAATAAAAATAAAATAAATAAATGCTGGAACTGCTACTGAGCACAAGGCACTGGAGGGGCACAACAATTCACTGTAAAGTGCTGTCTCTGAAGGAGCTTTCTCACTAAAAGGGGAGCTAGACAGGTATGCAAATAACTATATAAAAATGTTATTAGGTGCCAGATGAGATGTTTGAAGAAACGTGTAGATAAATGAGAGAGAACTTCACACTAAGAAAACTGAGGGGAAAAACACTTCCAGCAGGAGTCTTTGCACCTGGGCCTTCAGGAGCGGGGAGGTGTGGACATGAGGGTCAGGTTGGGAGAGGGGCTCTGGGCAGGCAGCATCGGACGGGCCAAAGCATGAAGACAAGGAAGCAGTTACGTGCGGCTGCAGCATCAGACAAGACGGGCTGAGCAGCCAGGCGGGTTATCAGCTTTTTAGAGTCTTAGGACAACCTGCAGATTTCTGATACGTATCACTATACCACGTTGCCTTGTGGACAAATAAAATCGGGGGAAAGGCTCAGGTAAGGAGGGGGACAGACGAATCAAACCACCTAACAGATCCACACCAGTCTCCTCTGGGTAACCTGAACTGCGTTAGCAGCAGCTGGGTGGAATGTTTCCCCAACCAAATGTAGGTCAAGGTGTCGGGAGCTGCTCCTGCAGGATGAAACAGGATAGACGGAACACTGCTGTTTATGGGCTGAATAATTTACATCAGCCCCACTGACAGCACGGCCAGCCAGAGGGTGATAAAGAGCAGCAGGGGGCCTTCCAGGACTGGGCTCAGGGGGCACACGGAGAAGGGGTGAGGCTTTCCACACGGCGGGGGAGGGGGAACCAGACAGTCACACCCGAAGCTTTCAGACCAAATGGTCCCTCCCTTCTTCTGCTGGACAGGACCATCACCTACCAAAGTACTTAGCACCGAGCAAAACACACAGCACTCGCTCAATAAACCTTAGCTCAGTGAACACACAGGGGTAACCAGTAATAAAATACTGAGCACCTGATCACTATCTGGTTAGCTCTGCATATGTCCTTTTTTTTTTCATGTTAATAAAATTTTATTTTTTTATTTTTAAAATTTTATTTTTTATCTTTTTTGGGGGGGGATAATTAGGTTTACTTGCTTGTTTCTAGAGGTGGTGCTGGGACCCTGAGCTCAGGACCCCGTGCACGCTAAGCATGCAGTCTGCCGCCTGAGCGGTACCCTCCCCTACAATATATTCTTGATTGGAATGGAAAACATGTCACATGTATCTTTTGGGGGGGATGTATTAACCAACCTTCAGCTCCACAAAAATCAACATATTCCAGTCAGAACTCATGGACTTCCTGCCCCCCAAAATCTGCTTCTGCTTCCATCTACAAGGAGGCAAGCACGTGCCCTTCTTCTTCTGTCTCAATACCATTTATGGGATAATCGAGAGAGGCTCTCCCCACTGACCTGCAGTCCCAGCATTTTCATTCTGTACGTGGACCTCCCATCTCCTGTCTGCCCCGTGGGCCTGCTTCTCTCCGCTGGCTTCTCTGACTCGTCTTCTCCCGTGTCCGCCCTACGCATTTGGCCGACGGCCGCTGCACAGACGGTGGCAGGTTTTTACACCGCACGTGCTACTTGGACGCACTCTTCTAGAGGAACTTTTCAATCAATTCGTCTAATTTCTCTCAAAACCCCAACGTGAACTGCATTACACCTACAGCTTAACCCGAGAAAAGCACCATCTTTCCAAAACTGAATGTCACTTTCAGAATAAACAAGGTGTTTCTCCAGTAAGTCTTCTTTAATTGCCGATAGTAAAGTTTTATGGTTTTTTGCACAGAGGCCCCTGCATTTCTTTTTACAGGTGTTCCTAGATATTTCATAGTTTTTATTGTTTTTGAAACTAGGGTCCTTTTTCTATTATATTTCCTAACTGGTTATGGCTGATATAAAGGGAAGGTACTGAACTGTTTTATACTCTCTTGAACCTATCTTCTGAGGCCCACACGAAAGGGAACAATCTAGCTTTTCAACCTTTCTGCAAAATGGAGCTTCTATTAAGAGGCAGGTCCCTTTTATCTAATCAATATTTTAAATGCACCCTGAATCAACCAACCAACCTACCTACCTACCTCTCTACCTACCTCTCTACCTGCCTACCGACCTACCTACCTACCTACCAATCTATCTACAGACACACACAGGCACACACACAGCATCAGTGTTCCACACCTCGTGCAGGTAACATTGCCCTACACAGAAGAGCGCCCCTGTGATCCCTCAGCAAGAGCCTGGCTTCCCTTCCTGTGCTTCTAACTTCAGGGCAACGGGACAGCTGAGCATAAAGGACGGGTCACTCTGTTCAGTTCCATTCTCCTCAGACAGCCAGCACTTTGGACAGCTATTATATTCACTCTAATTAGGATCAAGTCAGGGTATTTTCTGTTCACGTGTTGTAAGACACTCAAGGCTTCTAAATGCTCTTGTCTCCTGCATCCATTGAAAAAAAAGAAAAGAAAAAGAGTCTTTTAACGTCACTCTGCCAGGACGGTCTCCTGGACCTTATCTGTCTCTGTCTAATCTTTATCTGTTCAAATGTTTTCTCTTAATAGATAAAAATTACACATTGAAATTGAGAGTTTTATATTAGGTTGTCCACCTTTAAAATGCTGTGTTGGTTTTTTGCAACATACTTAAATATTTTAAATTGTATTTAAATAAAAATTTTAACTTCAGCAGAATACTTAAAGCCATGTCACATAAAACTTTTTAACATGCATTTTGCTTTTACTGTAAACTAGCCTCTAAATTGTGGGGTCATGCAACAAGTCTTTTCCAACAGAATGGGAGAAGAAGTGGCGAGCAGGCATGCTCTCTCCTTGCTCACACGCGACACCAGACACACCCCTCCATCAACTTAAGAGGATTCCAGAGACCCTGAAGGAGGGCGGACCACAAGAAAGAAGACGGCTGGTTCCCTACATGATTGTGGGGCAGCAGAGGCCCCCTCCTCAGTGGTCTGTGCTGTGAGTGAGAAATAAACTTTGATAAAAAATTTCAGTGGAAATTATGTTGCTGTTTTGATAGGAGTCAGCCTATCTAGAGAGTGACAAGAGTTTAGAACAGCAGATCAGGGAAATAAAAAAGGACTAAGATTAAAACGGAGGGGTTAGGAGGACCCAGCAAACACGGGGTCTCACAAATTTGTACTTGGACCAGTCCATATTAATGAATTCAACTCAGCTATGTTAAATTACTTACTAAATCTGGAGGCTTAAAAATATAAGCTGTCAGTCTCTACTTTCATTATCCTAGGATGCCAACATGTGACCTGGGTTACCTCTTCAAGTTCACCAAGATTCTCATGGTGGCCCAATATAATTACTGATTCTGCTCATCAGCTCTTTTCTTCAAGAGTTCCTGTTATTTATAAGCTAGATCACCAGCATCTACTCTCCTTTTCTGAATTCTAAGTGTATTTCTCAATTCTATTCAATATGTTAATTTGACTAACTAGTTATTTTAGTACATGTAATCAATTTTGCTTTGCCTTGGTTTTGTTTGTTCTTTCAGATGCAATTCTTCTAGAGGAGCTTTTCAATCAATTCTTTCATCCAAACCTATTTTTAAAAATCTATTTAATAGAAGTAAAAGTCCACTTTAGTCTCATTAAGTAGAAAAAGATATTTTATCTTCTTAAATTCTCATGTTTCATAACAGTGATTTTTCTCTAAGCTCATATAGCTTTGGTCCTTTTCTACTGTTGAACACTTTTTATTCTCACAGATGTCATGATTTGTTTTGTTTCATTTTTTCCACTTACTTATCCTTAAACTGCATTTCCTGGTAATTATTTATACGTCCAGATGACCCAAGACTGACTCTAAAGCAGGTCTTCTGTATCTTGTTCAATAGAGAAAGCTGTTGGCTTGACATAAAGACTACAGAGGTTTATCTTCAACTTCTTCACTTGGTACCCAGGTGTCAGCAGGTGTCTCTTTATCCTATGGTGAGCAAGTTCATTCATAAGGATATGGACTGAATTTATCTCATAACAGACAATCAGGAAAAAGAGCCACCCAGTACCACGGAGGGACTAAAGCTCCTTTGAAGCAATAAGTGCCAGAAGTTATTTCCACCAGTCAGTAGAACACAAATATAAGAATGTAAAGCATTCCATGGAAGGGAAATGTACAGAAATAAAATACATGCTCAAGTGCCTTCTCCAGGAAAGCCAGACCGAAAAGCTAGTCCAAGGATCTTTGGTCCAAAGAAAGTCCCACAGTGGGTTAAAAAGCAAGAACAAGCAATCAGATGTCACATAGAAGCTGGTGAAATGACCGTATGAAAGGGACTCCAAGGAAGAGAGGAGGGAAGGAGGGAAGGGGGAAGGAGGGAGGGAGGGAGGCAAGGGAAGGAAGGAAGGAAGGAAGGAAGGAAGGAAGGAAAGGAAGGAAGGAAGGAAGGAAGGAAGGAAGGAAGGAAGGAAGGAAGGAAGGAAGGGTTACAAGGATGCAGGCTCAAAGGGGCTGACTTTCAAAAGTTACAAGTGACTGCAGAAATTTCTATCAGAATTGGACAACGGTTTCAGTATCAGAATGTCATATTAACAAATTTAATTGCCATATATTCAGACATTTTATATACAACAATTTTAAAAACCAGGTTATTTCTGTGAATTACATAAAAGACCACTTTTTTCAAGAAAAAAATGCTAAATTCATAAAAGAATTTTCAACTAAGAGAGTTTTTCTCTTGAACTACTAAATGCAACTAATTTTTGTCCTTTAACCAACATATTAGGAGAGAGAAACAGGCTACTGAATCAAAGTTTTCATCTTACCCTGAAAAATCAGCAGAATATTGTCCATAATCAAAGATATAGACTCTAGAAATTTGGCATACTGTGAGGTATCCCAAAGCAAAGACAAAACAATATCTGGAAAACAAAAACAAGCTAGATTAGTGAAATAAAAAGATTCATTTTACTAAAGAATACATTTTAAACTAATTTATTAACTAGACGGTATGGTTCAAAAATTAAACATTACTAGATCTACTCCACAAATAGCTTTCTTCAATAAATTATAAAAACTTCACTAGTGTCTGCTTCAGTTAACTTGAATTTTATACCATCTCAACGGTAAATGCATTTAATTCCTACCTTTATTTATTTTTTCTTTCCATAAGACCTCATAATATATCTGAAGTCATGCTCACAGCATAAAACTGAATACAGTGAGTGTTTGTGTCTGTTCTATTTATTCCTCCTTCTCTCTAGAAAACAAAATCTAGCCAGAAAATATTTGGCTAAAATATACATTAAGCAAGTTCTTAATAGGGGTTTTTAAAACTTGTCCTCAATCACCTAAAATCATAAACACTTAGTGTGGATCAAGTGGTATTCATTCACATTTTATAATCATAAACATTTAGTAATTTTCAATCTTAAGAGGCATGGGAGAGAGCTGTAATAGTTAAAAATACAGTACGGGGAAGAAGAGAATTTACGTATCAATAGAAGAGAATAGAAATACAGAAACAGAAGCTAGAATATACAACACTGCGTAAAATGGAGGCTGCAATGCAAATTAGCAGGATTGGATGAATTCTCACCAAATTTGGATGGGGAAAGGGAGCCATCCCTTCACGTAAACAATTCTATATGGATTAAAGAATTATATATACAATATGAAACGAAAACACAGTGGGGCTGTGGATAAATATTCAAGTGTTCGCAAATTGGGGGAGGACTTTCTAAACATACATAATACAGAAGAAATCAACAGAAAAAAAGCCAGTGTATTTGGCTAAGTTAAAATCTTAAACTTCTCATGTAGATAATTCAGGTGGCTCCATAAAAGGGTTCTTTCAAACTTTGGATAATCTAAATAGGGAATTCAGATCTACTGGAATTATTTCTGAGCAAAGAAAAAGGGAGGAAAGCTTCCTAATTCAAACGATTTACAGAGCTAGTTCGTTCCTGACAGCTACAGCTGATAGAATCGCACACATGCATGTGCACACACAGCGCCGACAAAGCAAACGTCACATAATTTCTAAAAGTCACGTCGCAGATTGCATTTTCCAAAGACAGCTGCAACAACGTCCCTCCGTTCACATGTTCCTCTACAACCTGACCTTCTGTTCCCTTGTCAAGAGGAAGAGTGTTTCTCTACCCACTTTGAACCTGCGTTGGCCCCCTAACTTAGCACTGACCAGTAGAGGATGGCAGAAGGAACACTTTGCTAGTCCTGGAGGAGTCCACAATTAGCCTGGGGGTTTCCACTTCTACCTTTTGGAAGCTGGTAGTCAGGAAAGCAGTGTGACTGTCCCAAGACCATCACGCGTAGAGTTTCTGGAGGACGAATGTGTCAGAGAGAGGGGCACCAAGGAGAGCTAAGTCTTCAGATGTGTTATGAGAAGAAGCTTACGTCAGATGAAAAAGAGGTATCAATCCATCTGAACACTTCCTGAATTCCTGACCCACAGAATCATAAGCAAGATAATATACCAGTTTCTTTTAAGCCACTCTGTTTTGATGGAGGGACATAATCAGAACAGAAACTGGTAAGTGAAAACAGGATGCTACCTCGGGAAAAAGCTAAAACACACTCACTGGCTTTAGGATGAGTAGCAGGTGGCAGCAGGAAAGGTGTCGAGGAGATTGCCAGCAAAGACCTGGAGGGCAGTGAGGAAACCATACAGGAAACGGAGAAAGGGCAACTCAGACTGTACAGCGGCAGAACCTGAGAACTGCTGCCTGTTGAAATAGGGAACGTAAGAAACATACCCCATAAAAGGGCCAACAGGTTTCTCTGAGACGCATACAACAAGGAATGGGTAAAGAGAGAGAAACTGAAAAGGAGAAGTGTTCAGGCTTTGAGCAGAATTCAGAAAAAAATAGAAAGGACTCAGGATAGTCTTTCTGGTCAGCAAAACATCCCTACAGCAATTAGGGTAAAGATGAAGTCAAGGGTACTCTGTGATGACACTTCAGAAAGATTTAAGGCCACATCTTCATAGGTCCTCAGATTTTAAAAAAAGAGCTTCTAAGAATCTTAAGGATATAGACCTCTTTGACTCTCTGCTAGACAGGAACACTGTCAAGAACCTTAAAGATGCTGTCCCACAGCTCTTTCTGACCAAAATAAACAAGAGACTGTCTAACAAAGATCTGTGAGTGCAGCTTCTGTCTAATGCAGGAGATTGCAATTAGATAGATAGGAAGCCCATATCATTTTTAAGGGAGTTATATGAGATTGAACTCAAAATGAAAATAGATCTCTAGGTCCCCCATTATCTACTGTTAGGTAGCAAGCTAAGAAAACTATTTAACTGCAAAATCTGGTTATTGCCTATGAAAAAGGAAGGAAAGCTCAGGGTATGAAGTCAAGAGCCCAGTGGGTGAAGTCAAGAGCCACAGAGAACCATTTGTAGGGATTAGATCTGGGCCCTAATCACGGAGGTGATAACAGGAGTCTGTCCGGATTTCACAATTGCTATGCACCAGGGATTGCTAAGTGACCTGCATTCCTCTTTCATTTGAAAAGAAAGGTCTACCACAGTTATACTACCACTGTTCACCACTGTATACTGGGTACACCAGGGGCCTTGAACTTGACTCTAGTTTACTGGTCCTCCCATGGAGAGCTGCACTTTAAGAACCACACCCAAGAAGCCTCACCCACACTAGACCTGACTTAGATGACAGGATAGAGATCTTGAGCTTGATGCCATGAGATAAGATGCTGGGGATCTGGGGAGGGCAGTGTATTTTTTCTGTGGGATGAATGAGTGTGAATTGTGAGGCCAGAGAACAGACTGTCTTCTGAGACCACTGCCCCCAGGTGCAACCCTCCCTGTTGCACGTGTAGCTTGTACATCAAGAGCTGGAATATAATTCTTCTCACCATGAATCTTAATAATTTGGGTGAGACTTAATAATTTGGTTTATCAACAGAATACAATGGAAATGACTTCCTGAAACTTTAAGACTGGGTCATAGGAAGTCTTGCTGCTTCCTCCTGGGTTTCTTGGAACATGTGTCCTTAGCAAACTCTCTCTGAGCCCAGCCACCACATGTGAGCAGCCCGAGCCCACGTGGAGAGGCAACGTGTCGGTGCTCCAGTCAATAATGCCCACTGATCTCCCAGACAACAGCCAGTATCAACGGCCAGCCTTAGAAGGAACCCTCTTGGATGTCAAGCAGTCATGCTTTCAAATAACTGCAGTTCCAGCCAATATTTAGTAACAACTGCATGAGACCCCAAGCAAACACTGTCCAGCTGACTCGACTCAACACATAGAACCATGAAAAACAATAATAAAGTGTTGTTAAGCCACTAAATTTGGGGTGGTTTGTCATGCTGCAATAAATAACTGAAATAATTCCTTAATAAGACTTTAGAACACTAAAACTAATTGTAATTTAAAATGAGATACCTCAACCAAACAGGGGTTATCTGATAAATGCAAAAATTATTCAGTATAGGAAGACTAGTTAACATGTGTCATCAAAGTGATGACTCAAAGGGAGAAAGTAGTTAGATACATTAAAAAGCACCTAATAAAATTCAATAATGTTTTCACCAAATAGAACTCTTAGTAACCTAAAGGCAAAGGATGTTTTATGAACGTTAAAAAGACCTATCAAAACAGCCAGTACTTTGTCAGCCTGAAACACTAGAAATTCGTGGGAGCAAGCATATGAAAGCTTTTGAGGCAGGAAAGAGGTGTATGTGTTAGCACGGACTACCTTACTTTAAGACTTATTTTGAAAATTCAAATAACATTAAAGTCCACTCTCCTTAAATTAATCTCTAAATTTAACAGCATAATCCCAATCAAAATCCCAACAATACTTTTAGTGGAACCTGGTTTGTTGATTTTCAAGGTCTTCTGTAAAACTATACAAACCTATGCTGAGGAACCTGCCTAGCCCCACCTGGTCAAAGCCTGTGTCACCGTGATTGATAAGGCAGCGCTGACTCAGAAATAGACCAAAAGATTAATCAAAAAGAGAAGAAAGTCCAAAAAAAGACTCCCTGTACAACTGAAAGTTTTGTTTATTGTAAAGCTTACATATAAAGTTAGTGGGAAAAGGATAATGAGGTGAATGAAGTTTAAAAAGTTAGCTCTCCTTTCAGAAATAAAAATCGTTTTCCAGTTCACACTACACACATCCACACAAATCCAGTCAGGTTATGAAAAGACCTAAATGTAAAAAATAAGGCAATAAAAAGTCTAGAATAAAATACAAAAGAACATCATCAAAATCCTGGAATTGGAGAAACCTTCATAAGTGTGACAAAAATGATAATTGCCATGAAGAAGAAGTATTGACAGTATTTATCATACAGAAATTATTGGAAATTTCCATATGGCAAATAACATAAAATTAAATAAGTAACAGAAATTATTTACTACATATAGGTTAAGATAGCTAACAAAGAAATTCTACAAATCAGCAAGAAAAGAATGAAAAATTCAAGTGAAAAAATGGATGAGAATGTGAATGAGCAAATTACAGAATAAAAAAATTCTAACGGCCAGACCATTTAGAAAAGTAAATTAGATTCAAGATAAAGGACTGATCAGGAAATAGTAGTAATAATCCAGAAATGCATATTAGAATGGTAATATTTGATTTATCGAATACCATTAGCAAAAGTTTACAAGTAGACAATATCCAGTTTGGGTGGGGGGAAACTGGCATCCTCAAACACAGTTGGTAGGAACGAAATTTTAAACCTCTTTTTTGGTAGGTGATTTTGCAGTAGACATCAGAATTTGTACATACTCTCCAAACTGCCGATTTCACTTTAAGAAGTCTATCCTAAAAAACAGAAACACTTATTATATGCACAAGGATACAAAGATATTCACTATACCACTATACTTAATGCTAGAAACGGAAAACCAGCTAAAGGTTTCCAATGATATTAATTAAAATAAATGGAAATCATACAATAAATAGAAAGCCCCACTACAGAATTCAGCACCAGTGAATGAAGAGATATGCATATGTATATATAATGAAAATCAGAGTTAAGTGGAAAAGTAAGTTAAAGAACTGTGTGCTTAAAATGCAATTCCACTTCACAGACAAATCTCTATGCCTGTACCCGAACGTGTGTGTATATTTAAACATATACAAATGCGTCATGGAAAAGTTCTGGAACGAAACTGCAGTGGACACTCTCGGCTGACTCACTCCATAGGCATTTCCATCTCCAGTCACCCTTGCTCTCCTTTCCACAGAGGCCAAAGGCTAAGTATCCCATTTCCCAGCCTCCCTTGCAGTTCGAGGTGCTAAGACACAGAGGTGCCCGTGAGAGGTACCAGCAGTCTGCTGAGGCTGCTGGGAGGGACAGACTGTGTCGTCCACTGCGGTGACCATCTGCAAGAGTGTTCCAGATCTGATGCATACCAGCTCATGAGAGTTGTTATGTTTTTCAGGAATTTCTGTAAACTGGTGGTTAAACTCAGCCATTACCAAAATCTAAGTGATATAAATGTAAAATTAAATAAATTATATTACATAGGTAGTAAATGTTCAAAACTCATCACTTCCCAATTACTTCTTTTTTAAAATTTTTTTCAGGGGGAGGTAATTAGGTTTATTTTTTTTTAATAATTTTTTAAATGGAGGTACTGAGGATTGAACCCAGGACCTCATGCATGCTAGACATGCACTCCACCACTGAGCTATATCCCCAGACCCCCAACTACTTCTTGACTTTTGCTATTGGCTGTGCTCTCGAGGTGGCTGACAGCTCCTGGGCCTGTGTGGTAGCAGTGGTACATGACGGAGAGTGAATGAGCGTCTCTTCCTGATTCCACACCCAGAGGTGTCAAGTTAGTAGCTTAAAATCCACCATGGTGAAAGTATTTACAACTTGAAAACTGGCAAACATCATAGATTGTTTAGACCAGGGATCATCAAATCTCGCCCTGACTGTTCGTATAAATGCAATGTTATCTGACCACACCGGTGCCCGTCTCCCTACAGACTGCCTGTGGCTGCTCCGGCCTTAGAGCAGCGGGCTGGGGCTGAACAGCTGTGCAGCGCCCGCGGGGCCATCAAAGCCTCAAATGTTTACTATCTGGCCCTTTACGGGAAAAGTTTGCTGACCCGAATTAGAAGTAATGAAGGGAATGCAAATAATGCACATTAAACTTTAAAAAGTATGTCATGACTGATGACCCGTAGCGATCACACTGTGAATAGCTAAAAAAAAAGAGATCGTAATCTTCCTGTATCCAAAAACCATGATTCAACTCAGCAAAGAAACGGCTCACATTATGGATAAATGAGTGAAGTTCCAACATGTATCTTTATCGTTTCATTTTCAACTTATTCATTATGTAAATAAAAATATCAACCGACATTCCTAATGGAACCACATTTGTTTGTCCATGATGTAAGCAACTTCTTTACTGAATTGGACAAATCTTGTAATCTGATTCTGTCAAATCATGGTTGAATTGCAACCATACATTAGATAGAAGAGTCTATCAAAAAAAAAAAACTCAATGAAAGCACCGTGTGAGAAAGCAGAAGAGGTCAGATGCAGCTGGTGTGGCATAAATTCCTTCTGCCTGGAACATGGACGGCTGCGGCACCAACCATCATGTATCACGAAGAAGCAAGCTAACAGGTGAAGCGCAGCAGAGCAGAACGAGAGAGAAACCTGCTTCTCTTCTAATGATACTGTTGAGCGGTGACCCTGGCTCTGAAGCACCTAAATCCAGAAAGAATCCCAGGCGGTGGGCTTTTTCCCTATTACTTTGTGCAACTGAAGTGCATTCCTAACTGATACCAGAGCACATCAGATTTTCAATGTTATCTTTCCTTTTGCGTTAGGCTGCAGAAGGGTGATGGGGAAAGCCTCTGGTTTTCCCAGTTTGTACATCAGCAGAGGAAAGCAGACATGTAAGCCAGTGCGTATGTGCACAACGTTACTGCAAGTGCCAGGACCAGGGCATGAATGTCACTGAATGTCTTCAACAGAAAAATACACACACACATAAAATCCAAGCAGACCTGACCTAGATTTAAATAACAGCCCCATCACTTTTTACTATTCCTGTCTGTATGATCTTAAGAAAGTTACTTTACGTCCGAACCCTATAGAAAGCAGACACACGGGGATCCTGAGTGTTCTAACTCAGTCGCCATGGTCTTGTCCTCTCTGCAACTGAGTGGTTTACAGGTCGACGTAAAATGTTGGTCTGGTCAATGAAATATGACACAGGGCTTCTTCCTTCTCAAAGTCTGACACTTGCTACTGTCGTGTGGGTAAGTCCAGCAGCCACCTTCACAGCTTGCAGAAGGAGCTAGCCTACAGACAATGTGCTGAGGTGGCGAAGCAGAAAAGCTAAATAAAGCAAAACATAGAACTTTTCGATGCCCTCATTAAAGCTGAGTTGCTGAGCTAACCAAAATGAGCTACCCTGCCTCACGGCTTCTCTGAGAGAGAACTCTTCCTGTGCTGTTATACCATTATACCACGAGTCAGGACTTCTGCTCTCTGCAGCCTTTAAAAGCATCCTGTTACTAGTATTACTTACAATGAAATTAAATCAGCAACACTTGAAGAGTTCCAGAGAGAACCTTTTCTTATTCACTAAAACAGAGATGTTGAATTGCTGCCTCATTTAAAAAAGAGAAGCCAGATCTAAAATACCCATTCTCTAGATATTAGACATGAAGGGAAAATTGCTCAGGGAAAGACAAGGGCTCGGGGACTATGGAAATTAGTGAGCTAGAAAAGCTGACAACTGAGAAAGAATTCTTCCTAAATGAGGAAAACAGGCAACATCACCAAAAGGTTCAAAATCCTGATGGGAATAAAGACAAAAACTAATCCATGAGTATCTGTTTTAACATGTTGAAATCAAATTACACTGTTTATTTTCCAGGCGCTTTAGCTCAGATGGCTTTGGGTACCACCCAAATTCAGGAAAAGGCCTGCGCACCTGAATACTAACTGAACTTTCTCCTTATTTTGCCTTCTCCACTGTGTATACCTTCCAAGACTCTCTTTGCTTATGTCTAGCCCTGAAATCAAGTGGCCTGAATCCTCGAACTTTGCTCTTCCCTTTCAAAACATTGTTGACTAATCTGTAGTCTTTGCATTTCTATGTAATTTTCGAAGCAACTTTAAAATTACATAGCACACTGTAAAGCAAAAAATATGTCATCAAATGGAGAAAAAAATTAAGGAGAAAGTAAAGTTAGCATCAGATGTGCAAGCCTTGTGCATGGTTAGACACACAGATCGATGAACAGAATAAAGAGTTTAGAAATAAAGCCACAAGTGGATATGGTGAATTGCAATTCAAAACAGAAAAGCTAGTATGTGAACAAACAGTACTGGGACATACAGAAAAACGAATTTCAACTCTAACCTCACAGCACACACAAAAATGAACTCAGAATGGACCGATAACCAAAGCAAAAAAACTAAAACCATAAAACTTCTAGAAAAAAATTTATAACCTTAGAGCAGACAAAAACATCTTAGATAAGACACAAAAAGCTCTAAAGTACAAAATTAAAAACCATTAACCTGACTTCATTAAAACTTAAAAGTTCTGTTTGTCAACAGTCACCACAAAGAAGACGAAAGGCAGGTCTCAGATTGGGAGAAAATGTCCACAATTCATACATCTGACAAAGGACTTAGATTCAGATAACAGAAAACACGAATTATAAGATAGTAATAAAATTCAAGTCAGAAGATTTGAACAAACGTGTTCCAAAAGAAGACACGGTATTGGTCAAAAGCGGAAGAAAAGATGCTTGACATCATAGTCACAAGAAATCCCAACTAAAATCACGGCGAGATACCACTGTTCACGTATTAGAATGACCAACATTGAAAAGGCAGATAAAGCCACGGGTTGATGAGAATGTAGAGCAACTGGCATTCTCACATGTTGCCGTAGGGGTGCAGAACGGTACAACCACTTTGGGAAAGTCTCGTGGTTTCTTATGTGATTAAACATGCTTTCACCTTATGTCCCAGCAATTCCTCTCTAGGTATTTACATAAGAGAAATGAAGACACACATCCATAAAAAGACTTGTACAAGAATGTTTTAGAAGTTTTACTCATAATAACCCCAATTTTGAAATAATCCAAATGCCCATTAACAAACAGGTGAAAGAACACATCAATTGTGTATTTATGGAGGACTACTTGGCAATAAAAGGAACAAACTGTTGATAAACACAAGGACGGGAATGAATTTTAACATTAAGCCAAGTTTAAAAGCCAGACACAAAAGATTCCACACTGTACAGTTCAATTTATATGAAATTCTAAAATAGGCAAGCTAATCAATGGTGACAGAAAGCAGGTAACCGGCTGCAGGGGGCTGGGCTGACACGGGAACGGAGGAGCCTGGGGGTTGAGTGAAAGGTCTTATATCCAGATTTGGGTGCTAGTTATCCAGGTCTACACATCTGCCCCAACTCACTGCACTGGTGGTTCTATTTTAAGTAAATTATACCTAAACAAAGTTGATTTAATAGTTCTTTGGAAACAAACTTTACAATCTCCTTTGCAGACTCCTTCTCAATCTGGGGCCCCAGGGTTCAGTTCTCTTCTCCACTTACACCCATTTCCGAAAGGATTTCATCCAGTCCCATGACTGTAAATGCCTACAGCATACTGACAGCCCCCAGATTTTTTATCTCTCAATTAGATGTGTCTCCTAACCTCCAAACTCAAACAACCAACAAGCTACTTAACACCTCTACTTGGCTGCCGAATGAGCATCTCGAATTTACCATGTTCAAAACAGAAATTCTGATTCCCATCAAAACAACTCCTTTCCCTTGTCTTCTCTGATCTTTGCAAATGGCATCATCTTTCATCCAAGCGCTTTGCCCAAAACACTGAAGTCACTTTTGATGTCTCTCTACGACTCACACTCCATCTTCATATTTCACATCATGTGATCCACATTCATACGCAAATCTATCACCAAAACATACCCTGGACCGAGGAATTCCCAGGTCCAGGCCTGGACCACGGTAACAGCATCCTGACCAGTCCCTCTGCTCCCATTCCTGTCCCTAGTCTGTTAGACACACAGCATCCGGAGTGCTCAAGGCTCGCCAAGAGCTACCCACTGCACTCAGAACAGACTCCAAATTTCTTCAAGAACTTCAGCTGTCCCAGAATCTAATTAAAAAAAAAAAACCAAAACTAAGCCCTTTCGCTGGTTCTGCTGGATGAATGGCACACATTACATAGGTTTCCATTTTGATAACTGAGAAATAAAGAATTGTTGAAGATGGATAAAATCAGAACACTGCTAGAGCTGAGAGAAGGCTGGCAACGTTCAGACTGGTCAGCACACGTATACACAGGTCACCACCGGAGCGCCAGCCATTTGGGGAGGACCCCTTAGCTACCATCAGTGTTGTCTCAAGTTGGTCATAATTTGCTGAAACAGGGCTCCACTTCCCTGGAAAGATAACTGTGTTCTTTTATAATCGTTTCTTGCTAAGCCATCCCGAGTCTTGTTTGGTTCCCCTCCGTCTGTCTCTTCCGGCACTGCCAAGTGCAAACTGCGAAGCTGGCAGACAGAAGGTAAGCTCAGGTCAAAACCGCTAGCGGGTCACAACAGCCTTAAGCCAGGGGTTAAGTTTTCTTCAGATCGGAATTCCCAAACCTCACCTCTCCTTCTTGGCATATCGCCCTGTGTATCATAGGTTATTATGAAATTTTCAAGACAGACTCCACTCAATTTAAAAAACAAACACCTCAAAGTAAATACTTCTCCAAACCTACATTTCATTCCTTTTAAAATCTATTCCAAAACTGCTATCCACAATTGCACATTTCCATTTCTGGAATATACCATTTCAAGTTACATAATCAAAACTTCAGTTCACTTAATCTAGCTATTTCTATGCTTTCATCTATTTCAATAGCAAGAAATATAAGCCAAGAACTACAAGAAAGCAGTAAATATTGGTGGGGAGTGGACATTAGATTTAACTCCAGAGATGGCACTAATAAGAAATACAGTTTGAAAAGTACTTCCTAAATAATTTACAGGAGCTTAGAAATAGACTTTGGTAACAAGTAACCAGAGAACTTTACAGTACGCACATGAACTAACCAGAGACAATTGTTTAAAACACTAAATACGCACTTCTATAAAATTTCTGCACTAAAACTACAACAGTTATGTGAATACGAACACAATTGTCAGGCATAATGTCAG